TGTGTGTGCGTGTGTGTGTGGGCGACCGGGCGCCGAAGCCATTTAGCGAGAGGCCACGGGTCTCGACCGACATGAATAGTGCATGCGCAAGTGGCAGTGGCCCAGCAACGCGCGTGGGTGTCACGCGGCGCGCGTGGCTCGCTCGCTCTCCCGAGTCGCGCACGCGCACCCAAGCGGCGCGACAGCGCGTCCCCTCAACCCTGCGCTGAAGCACGTGCTGCGGCACGTGACCAGGACGCGTCCTGGGCACTGCGTGGGCCCTGCAACACTGCACAATCCTGACGGCCACGGGTTAGATTCCCGGAAAGGTCTATTATATCAGCGGCACGGAGCAAGTCGATCTGTCTTTTGAGCCTCCCTTTAGGTCGAGTCTGCCGAAGCAGCACCTGCTGTTGTGTGTGAACCTGAGCGTTGGGGAGTCAAAGAACGGACGATGACCACCAGGGCCACCGAGACGCGGGGACAGAAAGGGGGAAATTATCCCAGGCCTAAATTTCGATTTAAAGCTTTCGTGACTGCAAGGATTCATCTTCTTTGGTTCTTTCGGTAAAGTCACGTAGAATGAGAATAAAATAATACATTGATAAAATAAAATAACACAATAATATTCTCACGACGTTTCAGCCACAACACAAGCGGCTTGTGTTGTGACCGAAACGTCGTGAGAATATTATTGTTATTTTATTTTATCAATTTATTATTTTATTCTCATTCTACGTGACTTTACCGAAAGAACCAAAGAAGATGTATCCCAGGCCTCACACAAAAAGAGGGCCTCAGAACGAGCCTCGTTTTGTCGCTGATGGATATGGGCGGGGGGGGGGCAAGTGGCAGCACTGATGACAAAATCTGGTTTATGACCAAAACACCCGCAATGTGCCAGATCTCTTCAGGTCTCAGAAACCCAGCCGGGTATCGCCTGGTTAATGTTTGGATGTGACGCCAAAATGCGTACAAGAAGTTGGTGCATGGTGCCGCGTGGGCTACGTTAATAAGGCACTTTACATCCAGGCTGTTTCTTGTGAAATATTACACTAACGCATAATTGAATAAAACACGCTTTAATACGTTCACTTAACGCGTTCTAAATAATTTGATCTATGCTCATACCTATTGTGGGCTTAAGCGTTATTAATTGTGCCTGATCGCGGCTTTCGAGGCGCGCTAAATAAGGGGGAGACGAGGAGGCCGGAGGGGTGGCGGTGGACGTGGGGGGCCGCGGCGAACCACGTGGCTCCTCGTCACTCGGAATATAAAAGGTGGGAATCACGATCATCAGCATCATCATCACCATCATCGCAAATCCACCAACCACCATCACGATCATCCGACGATGGTCAATACGTTCAGTGGCGTGCAATTGAAGGGATGAGCAACCAGGGCTTGCCAGGGTGTCGTAGGCGTCGGGCTGCGAGGTGCGGCCAGGAGCTAGCGGTGCTGAATGTCCGCACCTCCGTCCCCGCCATTTCCCGGTGGAATGCGCGGTGCCGAATTTTTATCCCCGGGGCCTCTGGTTTCATCCCACGCGAAGCCAACCTCGCACAGATTAAGCGAATCGCGCCGCCGCAGCAGGAACCCTGCCGAGCGGCCGAGGCTCTCCTGGCCAATGGGGAATCGTTATTGCTGACCTCAATATGTTCTTCAGACGACACCGATTAGTTTTAATTGTTCGCGTGTGGTTTCCACTTCGCCCACCGATTGCTATTCGTGAGAGGTTGACAACGCCGCGCACGGCGCTCGCGTTTACCGCGCGACTCTCACGACGCGCACGCATCATCATCACTACCACCACGACCACCAATCGGCTCAAAGGCACTCTGAAGACTGCCGCCGGTGGCGGTGAGGTGGAGTTGTGAATAACCTCGCGAGGCGCAGCACAGCCCGTGATCATCTTGCCGGGTCCCACGAGAGCAAGGCCGTAGCCATGGAGTCAACATTGGGGGGGACCAAATCTTCCAGGGGGTCTGCCCCCCCCCCTCCGAAAATAAATCTAAATTTGAAAATAGTTTCCTGCCATTTCCTGCCTAAAATAGTAAAAAAAATACCTTTTCTTGTTTCATTGTATGTAATGGCAGAGATTAGGGATTTATAAAGTACAACCATAACCACAATCATATACACAGAAATCTAGTTTATAGCAATATATTGGGGGGGACATTTTGAGCATATTTGAATATTGGGGGGGATGTGTCCCCCCCAATATATATTGTAATTACGGCCTTGCACGAGAGCGACTTTAAATTATTCCAGTGACGACACTTCACCGGATCCTACAGCTCAGCGCGGTAATGAAATAATGGTTGGTGAAATGCGCTTGTTAACACACTCTATGTTGTAATTCAAACGAGGACGAGGATTCGTGTTTAATGAAGTGCTCTACATGAAGCTGCATCTCAAATCGCTTTACAAAACACGCGCCAGGAAATTACAACCCACACCACCCCCACCTGATGCCAGGACCCATCCCCATCAAGCCACACCATGTCCACAGATTCACCGTTGGCTCAATCACAACAACCACCAATACACACCCTATCCAAACACCACCAACCAACCACACCCAATGACCACCACCCATGCACCCCAATAAATCACCTCCACCCACACCATCTCACCTCCACCCACACCATCTCACCTCCACCCACACCACCTCACCTCCACCCACACCACCTCACATCCACCCACACCACCTCACCTCCACCCACACCATCTTACATCCACCCACACCATCTTACCTCCACCCACACCAGCTCATCTCCACCCACACCATGTCACCTCCACCCAAACCACCTCACCTCCACCCACACCATCTCACCTCCACCCACACCACATCACCTCCACCCACACCACCTCACCTCCACCCACACCACCTCACCTCCACCCACACCACCTCACCTCCACCCACACCATCTCACCTCCACCCACACCACCTCACCTCCACCCACACCACCTCACCTCCACCCACACCACCTCACATCCACCCACACCACCTCACCTCCACCCACACCACCTCACCTCCACCCACACCACCTCACCTCCACCCACACCACCTCACATCCACCCACACCACCTCACCTCCACCCACACCACCTCACATCCACCCACACCACCTCACCTCCACCCACACCACCTCACCTCCACCCACACCACCTCACATCCACCCACACCACCTCACCTCCACCCACACCATCTCGCATCCACCCACACCACCTCACCTCCACCCACACCATCTCACATCCACCCACACCATCTCGCATCCACCCACACCACCTCACCTCCACCCACACCACCTCACCTCCACCCACACCACCTCACCTCCACCCACACCACCTCACCTCCACCCACACCACCTCACATCCACCCACACCACCTCACCTCCACCCACACCATCTCGCATCCACCCACACCACCTCACCTCCACCCACACCATCTCACATCCACCCACACCATCTCGCATCCACCCACACCACCTCACCTCCACCCACACCACCTCACCTCCACCCACACCACCTCACCTCCACCCACACCACCTCACACCCTACCCAATCACCGTCATGCCTGCTCCACCCACGCGGTGCCGAGTTGCTGGAGCAGCCAGGGCCCATGAGAGGCGCTGTGTCAAGTGGCAAGACCCAACCTTTAGGATAAAGCTGCTTAAACAAACATTAATACGTCTATATTCGCTTCATGAAAGGGTCGCTTTAATTAAAGATTGTAATGTAAATTGGAATTTTATTATTTAACCTCATGAGTCATTTGCATTATTTTGGAACCAAAGTGCCTATTTACAATGCAAATTAGCGGAAGGATGAGCGTTGAGACAACGTTACTTACTTCAATAAGGACAAGCTGCGTGTTTGCAGTTCAAAGTGTCCAGCGACCTAAGCTCAACTCCTGGATACGGCTGAACATCGGTAGCGAGTTTTATTTGGACCACCCACCTTCGCCAAACCGCACTGACCAGCGTGGTGAAGTATGGTCTAACATACCCCATGAACAACGCGGTGTGCGATTCCCCTGGTCCAGCAGTAGATTGTAAACCACGACACGCTTTACCGTCGTTGCTGTTGATGGGAACGATTTGCCCGTCCAGCCACACGGTGACCCGGCGATGACTTGCAGGGGTTAAGAGATCCCTGGCACAACACGTGTGATGAGGATAAAACCATCCAATCACGCTGGGCACTTTCTCTCCCGAGTGTTCGCAGCGAGGGCTTTCCACGCAGCCACTCGGCCTCCACTGCACCGACTGCACGTGCAGGTTTAATGGCGCTGCATCACGACCCCGACGCCCCCCTGGAGTTCGATCCCTGGCACTGGTCCAACATCGGCGACGGATATCTCAACCGGTCCAGGGCCTCCCTTAGGTCGAACCAGAATTACATGAGTGCCTGTTGCGTTGCGTAAGCATCAGCACCGGGGAAACAAAGACGGCTGGGCGTGGCGCTTGCCACCCACGACCCCCCCCCCCCCCGTGTTGCCGTGCCGGCCTTGACGGGCGCTCGCTGACAGCACTTTTCCTCAATGGTCTGTTGGGGCTATACGGGGGTGGGGGGGGAGCTTTGTCTGTGTGCGCGTGCACAGCACTACGTGGGCCGCTGCCGCCGCTGCTGCTGCCGCATGCCACCTGCTGGCATCGCCTTGTTAACGTCTCAGCTTGGGTCTCGCCGAACGGCGGGCGCCGCAGTAACCATAAAAGCTCAATTTGCCCTCCCCGGTGTGACCGTGGCGGCGTGCGTGTCGTTTCTCTGGCAGCAGGACGGCCATTCGTTTTTTTTTAATTTTCTTTCATTTAAACGATCTTAGGCTGCTCCGTTTGCGGTGGTGCAGAATCATCGCGCAACAGCAAAAAAACTCAACACGTTCGTCATCAATAACACGTACGGCACTACCCTGAAAAGGGGCAAATATATTTACGAAGAAGTGACGCTTCGGGAAATGGACCCTGATGTATACGCAGTTGAAGGACCGTTGCCTGCAACGACATCTGTCACTGATTGTTCCTCTTTGCTTTTATTGTTCACTCTGCAAAACAAACGAGTGCGGTTTGTGGCCAAATGAAGCTGAGGATGACCATTCAAAATTAGTCCGATTCAAGGCAGCTTGCTGTGCAACCCCAGCCTGGCCACAGTCGTTCGTGAAGTAACGACGCGCGCGGCTCCGCTTATGCTTTCGCCAGGCTGCCCCAAATACATTTATTTACGCAGTGCGAGCCGTTACGCGAGCGTGAGAATTTACTCCGCGCAGACGCGCAGAGGGCCCCGTTCCCCGGGCTCTGTTTGTACTCGGCTGAGCAATAAAGCCACGCTCACGTTGTGCTGTTTTGATCGTTACCCATGCAACGCGCGGAGAGCCGCCGAACACGCTGCTCAGCGCGCGCGGTGAGATCTCGTCGGGCAACGGGAGGATTTTTTTCGAAAGTGACGACGGCGCGACCCAGCGTTGAACCCACGTGTGTGAACGCGCGCGGCCACCACCCGTGTCTTGCCCGCGCGTTAATGCAGCGACGGCACCCTCTGGCAGCGACTGTGAACCGCGGGGAAGACGTGCCCACCTTCGGGCTCCACCTTACCGCCAAAGTACGGTTCACATCGGCAGGCGATTTTTTTCCAAAACCTAAACAAGCCGTTATATTTTAAATCGGTTTGTAAAATTTTTTTTACGCGTTCATTCATTTGCAGTTTTATTCAGGAACAGTAGCGATTATACATCCTCACCACCTGCAATTTTTCGGAAATTGGGCTTCATCTGCAATCACCGTCCGTGCTGATTCAAAATCTGCACACTATTTATCAGCAAGCCAGGGCTGGGCAGCCCCGCCGCCAGCGCCGCCCCCGTGGAGTTTCTCTGGAACGCTTCCAGCGATCGCGCGGTGGCACCCCTGGTGGCCGTGCGCACAGCGGCCGGCGCGACTCCAATCGGAGCGCGAGCGTCCCCGCTGCACTCGACCGTAGCGGAGGGCCCCGGGCGATCGCGTGCCCTCGTTACGGGGCGGCTCATCTCAGGAGGAATCCCGCCCCGAGCCGGTCGCCCTCCTCCAGGGAGAAGCGCGCCGTGCCGACGTAGCGTGCCGCTCCGCCGACCTCCACGATCACGGCTGGGAACCGGCCGCATCGCAGCTCCTGCGGCACACGGTGCGGCACGCGCGACTCATTACGGGCGAGGACCCGCCGATGACCCCCCCCCCCCCCCCTCGGCGCCTTAAATCATTATTCACCGTTCGATTTACGCTCGTCGACGAGCGGCCAAACGGGGACGGCTGAGGGCCCCCGGAGGGCCCGCGTCAGGTGCGCCAGACGGATTTAAGGTGAACTGTGAGGAAGGCCATCAATCACTCAGCCAACGATATTGGGCACACTCCACCTGGGAATTCTGGGGAACCCAGGCCGACTCATTTTGTTCCGCCGTCAGGGAGCAACAACAAAATAAAAAATGAACCCTGCTAATTTTAAATCTCAACTCCTCGGTGCCTTGCGGACACAGCGGATTAATCATCTCCGATGTAACAAACCTTCGGTCCTGAGGTTAAAGGGGCGAGCCTTGCCGGGAGGGCGAATGCTTGCGTCGAAGGCAGGAGCATGCGAGCGTTTCGTGTGCGTGCGCGGCGACCGAAACGTGCGCGATGTCGCGCACGCTGGGAGCGACGCCGGTTTTACTTGAGTCTCTGCGGAACTCTCCGGGAGGAAGCTCCCGGGGCCCCTCGACCCCTATCGTCCCGAGTGCGGCTGCTCGGCTTAATTTGAATCGAGAGAAGGGATCCCACGGTCGGTTGCGAGGCACCAACCGAGCGGAAAGCGTACACCCGAAGCCTTCGGTCAACCGGCATGTTTGACAACATGCATTACGGTCACCCTCCGGAGACGCTCCTATTATTATTATTACTAGTTAAAGAAGCCGTGGTGCAGCGTGCGGACTGCAGCCATTCTTGGGCCACGTTTGGGAGCCAACGCGAGCCGGGAAGCCCCGCGAGCACCGCTCTCCATTTGCTCCGCCACACGCGTGTGAATGCACGTGCGACCGACAGAGAAGATCGCCTACGTAATAACTCACGGCCCCATGTGAATACACGGCTGGACGAAGGGGCCTCCTCGTCTAAGGTCGGCGAAACGGTTTCCGGTGTCACTCGCCGCTCACGTTATACCGTGGCCATGGGGTCGAACTCGTGCTTTCTGGTCCGTAAGCACGGCGCGCAAAGCAACTGCAGCGCTACGCCCCCCCCTCCCCACCCCCTCAAACGCGAGCATCATATCAGCACGTCATTTACATATCCATTGCGTAATCACCGACTCGTCAATTCTCGTGCTCAAACTCTGGCGCGCGTACCGGTCTGTTACTCGATGCACCGCGACCTGGCTGTTATGAAACAGCGGGCTAGCCGACCCTCTGAAGCAGGCCTACGGTACAGGGTAAACCATCCCAATGATGACAACACAATCGTCAATAACAACGCGACCTTGAAAAGTAAAACAAACAAAAATAGGTAATGTTTCAGGCAATGGCCCTTCCTCAGGGCACACAGAGCGGTGGCGTGGATACGAGTTGCACCTTATATACCACGGCGGGACATGATAAGAATTATATTATGAGGGAAAAAAATCCTGGGCAAACAGTTTTTTACATAATCCCCTTAGTGATGCATTCCTGGGCGAAATTCTCATTTGAATCGGGGATTATAATCAGCATAATGCACTCAGTGATGTATTGCTGGGCTCTATTCAATCCCCCTGATTTATAAGGACCCTATTTTCTTTCTTCTCAACAGTAGGTGGAATTATTGTTAAAGCAATGGCCTCATAACTTTCATGGGGAATGTCAAAATATTGTATAAGTGCACTGGGATTGGAGGGAGATATGCACAGGCATTGAAGTTTATCAAATGTTTTATCCGTAATTTTTCACGATTCGGATTTCGCTGCTGATTTCCGGATGAACCTGAGAAAAATAAAAATGAGGACTGGGTATATGAAATTCCCGATTATCCAAAAAAAATGTCCGGTGTTGTGTTCTTGCCAGACACTGGGAGCACGTTCATAATGGGCAGAAATTATCGGCAAATCAACATGTAAGCACCGTCACTTAAATAACCTCCAGCACATTTCCATAAAAATTGGCGTCACGTGCCATCGGGCGACATTCACATCGCAGCTCCGATTTGCACGGTTGGCTACCTGCGGGGCACGAGTACGTGACGCGAGTATGTGATACGGGTACGTGACACCAGTACGTGACACGTATGTGACGTGAGCACGTGACGCGAGTACATGACACGAGCACAGGACGTGAGTGACATGAGCACGTGACACGCGTACGTGACGCGAGTATGCAACGTGCAACGACCAGGACAACCTAAATCAAAACTCCGGAAAAAAATTATCCGTACGAATCCGAAATCCCAAACGTTTCAATCCAGAACCCCTCCCGACCATTTTCTCGGGGGGTGTCTGTACACGGATGAGCCCGTGCGGTGAGACACGCCGACGGTGGAGGGCCCCCGTGTCTCGGCCGGAGCGCCGCTCACCGCGATGGCCTTGCCGCTGAACACGGAGCCCGTGGTGCCGCTCTCAAAGCGCCGCGTCTGGCCAAGGCTCAGGAGGCCCCTGCGATGCTGCAAGGCGACGCGGGCCGTCACCCCCGACCCCGTGGGGCTCCGGTCCACCTGGGGCACAATTCGCAGTGTTCAACGCGACAGTGGCCAGGTGGCCCCTGAGGCCAGCCGCGGAGCGTCTGGGTTCGAATGCAGGTAGCGGTCGCCTGTAATTGGACGGGTGGCTCAGCAGGGGAGTGAGTAGAAGGAGTGAGCAAGGTTGGGAGTTCAAATCCGGCTTGGGAGTTAACTCGGCCCATCATCCCTCCAGGGTCGACAAATAGTGAAGAATTAAAAACGTCAGTTTCACGTAGGACAAATAATATTTGCGCTGTGTGGATAAAGATGCTTAATTGAAGTGATCATCTTCCGAGGCTGTTCTCTCACACAGGGTGATGCCCTGCCAGCTGCAGTGCTCTGAATCGAAGTCTGTTAATCTAATGACATGGTCATGATAGCACAATTTATATATCATTTGTAAACATATATAAAAAGAAAAACGAAGTACAGCCGTTTGTTGGTCTGTCACTGGATAAAGGCCTCCTCACGATGCATTCGGTCATGGAGCTTTTTTGACCATACTTCACCACGCTGGTCACTGCTGGTTGGCAAATGGTAGAACAGATCATGACTGGTTTAGATATCACCCACCGCAGATGTAAACCGTGGTCGGGAATCAAACTCGGGTTTGCAGGATCGTAGGGAGGGTGCGCTCGCCGCTGCACCACCGCCCGGCGAATACAAAGCGAAGGGTGCCGGCGCTACCTGGGCGTCTGCGAAGACGCATACGTTGGCCGTGGGCTCCTCCGAGAATCCGTCACTCCCGTCGGTGAGGATGGTGCCATAGAGGAACGCCAGCTCCTCGCCGTCCGGGTGGAAGAGCCGCACCTGCCAGGGCAGCGCAGTACGTGAACACGAACCGCACCGACGCGGACCAAACCAACTACAGCGACACGGACCAGACAGACATGAACCACGCCAACACGAACCGCACCAACGCCAACCGCGCCAACGCAAGGCGCTCCAACGGCAAACCGTGCCAACGCTAACCGGGCGAACGCTGGCCGCACACGCCGCTACCGAATCCCTTGACCCGCACTGCCATGAATCCAACGCGGTGCCACCGCTCGTGACGTGCTGCTTGTGCGTACACGCACAGCTATGATGCGCTTGTTAATCCGCTGCTGGATGAGGGCCTCCCCATGGATTAGGTCCTCCCCATGCCAATCTTGCGGTGGGGTTATCTGGCAGTACTTCACCATGTCGGGTTAGTGCACGTTCGTTAAAGAGGATGAGCGTAGATTGTTGGAGCACGGCACATTACAACAGACGATGTTGCTACGCTGCCCTCTGCTGCCGACAACGCAGCTCCGGCACCGGTCAGGCGCGGCGATCGCCCATCCAAGCGCCATCCAGGATCAACCCTGCTTCATTGCCGAGATACGATGGAGATCGCACGCATTCCGCGAGATTTCATCGTAAATGCGTGTGTGTGTGTGTGGACACACGTGTGTGAGGGCAGCACGTTCTCGTGATTCATCGCCGAATCGGAATGAAAGCGCAATTTCTAGCATCTGTCCTCGCTCTCGCACAATATATCTGTCGAGCCGTTCCAGCAAAGGCAACAGCGCAAAAAAAAAAATCCTGACATTTTGGGCTACAATTGGGGGGTGAAAATACCCCCCCGCATACGAATTCCTTTCAGATACAAAAGTGTAAAGGTGAATATCGCTCCGCTACCGAAATCTGTCATCCCTCTATTCCTGTCCCTACCCAAAGAATGTCCTGGGCTCTTTGACCAATCCAATGACATTTCCTGGCTATAGACCAGCAACACGTTGCATTGCTTCGGATAGTGGGTGATGGGGGGGGGCGCGCTTCACCGAAAAGGTCAAAGGACGTCACGACGTTCCCAGGAATGTCACGGACACGGGTTGCTGCAGGTTTATGTATTCTGTATATTATTAGAGACATCACCGTGAAAGAAACCTTGGTGCATGTGAAGCTTGCGCGTTGCAGCAGCGTCGTGCTTTGCGAGAAAGGATGCCGATAAAACCACGAGGCAAATGTTACTCGTCATCGTCGTCGCCACCGAAATGTTAACACCAATTCAGAAGACGGGCGACGATAAGAAAAACCCACCACGTTGGGCAATAACGCCGCGGCGCTGTCTGGAAAAATATGGACCAGGTGACGTTGCAGACAAAGGCCCTTCCTCGTAGCGCACGTTTGTTCTTTGTTAATCGTGCCGGGGCGCAACCGCAAACAACCGCAGCAGCGTCACCAAATAATCCACGGCACGCGATGTTAGACAATAGTATGCAGGGTGGGAAACATTGACAAGGGAGAACACAACGCAAATGATGGCGGTTAAAATATTACCCTGAAATGTCCAAACCTGAGAAGGGGGGGAGGGGTGGGGGGTGGGGGCCGAGACACCGTGCCGGCGTTAATGCTGCGCGGGCGCTGTGACGACCGCCTCCACCCACGACCACAGCGCCGCCACGGAGAGACTCACGGGCAGTGAGGGCACGACAGGAGCCTCGCGTGAGCCAGGGGCGGCGCAGTGGCGCCGGCGGCGGCGGCGGAGATGAATATTTGCTCTTGCGAGACAAGGGAGGAAATTCCGAAGCCTCGGATTGCAGGGGTTTACCTGAGGACTTCGTACGTCTCCAATCGTTTTCGGTAAATGCCTTAGCGCGAACAAATGCGTGTGTGCCATTGGCAGTGTGGCGGCTGGTGCGCGGCGCCACAAACCAGGCCACCCGAGTTCAATTCCCAGTCACGGCCAACATCGGTGACGATTATCTGAACCGGTCCTGGGCCTTCCCTAGTTCGACTCAGCCTTAAATAAGTACCCGGTGCGATGTGTAGACATCGCCACTAGGGAGACAAAGGCGGTCGGGCGTGGTACTGGCCATACAACCACGTCCTCGTGTGCCTTGTCGGCCTTCATCAGTGCTCGCTAACAACACTTGCCCAGCAGCCTGTTAGAGGGTATACGGGGGATCTTTGTAGCCTTGCACTGCCATGTGACAGGAGCTGAAACATGGAGTAGAACGTTTTTGGCAGCAGGGAGCCTTCGTGTGTGGAGTTTGTCTCTACTCCCCCTGTTCTGCGTGAGGTTCCTCTGGGTTCTCCGATTTATTCCCAAGTAAAAAAAGATACGTCACTGGTATTGGCCAAACATCCCAAATGCTGACAAATTACCTGCAGATTACTTTGTTGTGATTATACAGAGCAGCAACATCGCTGCCTACTGCAATAGACTTGGCAGGACCCTCCTGAGTCTTGAGACTCAGTAAGCCTTTTATGGATAAACAAGCAGAAAAATAATGTCTTCTTGGTTCTTTCAGTAAAGTCACATAGAGTGGAAACAAAATAATAAAGATAATAATAAAACATAATAAAATAAAATTCTCACGACGTTTCGGCCACAACACAAGCAGCCTTCTTCAGGTGTTGTGGCCGAAACGTCGTGAGAATTTTATTTTATTATGTATTATTATTATCTTTATTATTTTGTTTCCACTCTACGTGACTTTACCGAAAGAACCAAGAAGATGAATCCCTGCAGTCACGAAAGCTTTAAATAGAAAAATAATGCTCAAAATAATAAAAGCGAAAGACTTTGGTGCGTGGGAATCCCTCGCCATGAAAGCATAATAATCAGCAGACGATTGGCTTTGGATTAAACCTCCACTAGGGGTGTGCACCAGGGCCCTCTCGTCCAGCCTCTCCTTCTGGACCTCCTGCGGGTCCAGCCAAGGTTGTGGGAGGCTCAGGTGAGAGGGCGAAACGAGCGTAAAGCACCGACCGCACAAGCGAGGAGCCTTACAAACCCATCCCCGCGTGGGTCTCCCCCGTCTCCCCTTGCTTGCCTGCTTCTTCACCGCCTCCGTCACTGCGGTGGCCCCTTCGACCAGCGCCTTGGTGGACGACGAGCGGACGTCCAGGCCCAGCGACGAGGCGCTCAGGAAGGCGTAGAACGTGCCGCCGTAGGCGACGTCCACGGCCAGCTGTCCGTAGCCCGGCACCGCAACCAGCTCGTCTGCACGGCAGCAGCGGCGGCGTCGGCAGCAGCGGCGGCGGTGAGATCGGTGTGCCCCAGGGGGCACGGGAAAGTGGCCAAGCGTGGCGCGGAGGATGAGGATGAGGAGGCGCCGTGGGCAAGAGCCGCTGCACCGCTAACGGATTGACTGATGAGACGAGGCTGGCACCGGGATGCGGGTCGATACGGCGCTCGCTACGGCGCGCACGACTAATATGAAATGTAATTGAAAATAAAATTGAAGATCCATCGCCCGCGACGCCGCCTTCGCGCCATCAGGGGTCGTCGCTCGCTTTGCGCTCCGAGCGTCGGGCCGCCGGTGCCGAGCACCGCGTGCGCACAGCCAATTTGCAGCGCGCCGGGGCCGCCAGCCACGGCCACTACCGTGGCCACCCCCCCCACCGCCCGCTACACCCCCCCCCCCCCCCCCCCGCCAGGAACCGGCGCTCACCCAGGCAGAAGGCGAAGGCGGGCACGCTGTGGAAGCGGACGTGGGGGTCGCTGGCTCCGTCGGCGCCGCGCCGCACAAACGCGGTGACCAGCCCGCACGGCACCTCGATGCGCACCTCCGTCTCCGGCTCGGCGCCGTCCGCCGTGGGGGCGGAGGGCGGGGGCGGCGCCAGGCCGAAGTCGACGGCGAAACGGCCGAGCGCCAGCACGGCGTGGCCGCACATGGTGCTGCAGCCCTCGTTGTGCATGAAGGCGGCCGCCAGGTGGGCCCCCGGCTCGGCCGGCTCGGCCAGCACGGCGCCGTACATGTCCCGGTGGCCGCGCGGCTCGTTCATCAGCAGGCGGCGCGCCGCGTCGTGCCGCGCGCCGGCCAGCAGGGCCCTCCGCGTGGCGGCCGCGCCGGGCCCCAGCGCCGCCTCGTCGGGCCAGCCGGCCAGCACGACCCGCAGCGGCTCGCCGCCCGTGTGCATGTCCAGCACGGACACGGGTGGAGTCGCGCCGCAGCCCGGGAGGGACCCGGTGGTGTCGGCCGCGATCCTCGCCAGGGTGGCGCGAACGCCGGAGCCCGGGCCGCTCATGGCCACTGCTGAATGCGTGGGTGTGTGGCTGGGTGGGTGACTGGGTGGGTGGGTGGGTGTGTAGGTGAGTGACTGGTTGGGTGGGTGATTAGATGGGTGGGTGTGTGGGTGACTGAGTGGGTGGGTGTGTAGGTGAGTGACTGATTGGGTGGGTGATTAGATGGGTGGGTGTGTGGGTGACTGAGTGGGTGGGTGATTAGATGGGTGGGTGTGTGGGTGACTGATTGGGTGGGTGATTAGATGGGTGGGTGTGTGGGTGACTGAGTGGGTGGGTGATTGGGTGGGTGGGTGTGTGAGTGACTGAATGGGTGGGTGTGTAGGTGAGTGACTGATTGGGTGGGTGATTAGATGGGTGGGTGTGTGCGTGACTGAGTGGGTGGGTGTTAGATGGGTGGGTGTGTGGGTAACTGAGTGGGTGTGTGGGTGAGTGACTTGGTGTGTGGGTGATTGTGTGGGTGTGTAAGTGGCTGTATGGGTGAGTGGCTGTGTGGATGACTGAGTGAGTGGATGGGTGAGTGGCTGTGTGGGTGATTGGGTGAGTGAGTGGCTGTGTGGATGAGTGACTGGGGTGGGTGAATTAATGAAGACGGGGTGGGTAGATTAATGTGTGTGGTTTACTGTGGGTGGGTGGGTGATGGCAAGGTGGATGGTAGTGTGAGCGGGTGGTTCTCTGCGTGGATCGGTGGTGACTGTGAGTGGCTATGGTCCAGTGGCTAATCGTGGATGGGTGTCCGGAGGTGGATATGACTGGATGTGTGTGGCACGAGGTGGGAAAGTGTGGAACGCAAAACTGTATCTCAACACAGAAGACAAAAAGGAAAACTTAGGGGCCGTCCATAAATGACGTCACATCAAAATGCGCAACTTTAAATAAATACTGTATAGACAACACGTGCTACTTATTTAAATACATTTTTTAATAAATGTTTCTCCTACAAAATCAGAGTACAGCGCCACATTAAATACGCACTACAATGACAATAGTTTAAAGCGATTTGAAGCATGTTTTATCTTCAAAATGGAAAGTTTTTTTTTTGGGGGGGTGCGGGCAGAGCTTTGTGACGTCATATTTTTGTGACGCCGTGTGACGAGGGGGGGGTCAAAAATCGTCCAAATTCGCGTGACGTCATTTATGGACGGCCCCTTATTACCGTATTCTCCGCATCATAAGACACCTTTTCCCTGTACTGTACATGTGACCAGCTTTACAGAACTTTATTGAACAGATGGACTGCTCGATTGTTCACTTTTCGGGAGCTTATCACAGCTCAATGTAGCGACGGCAAGCGCTGGTGACAATTCCACATTGCCAGGGCAAGAACCGATCTTCTCAAAATGTACGACCACTCGACTGCCCAACAAAGCTGTACAGTACTGAATGTAGCGACCGCGGCGAGATGATGGGCCTAGTAAAGCCGCAAAGCAGCCCCCGCTACTGCGAGGTGACCGTGATAATCGCCGCTCGCGATACGATATTCGAGTTGACGATTATCGCGATATCGGTTTCCCTTAAACCTCGTAATTGTTGCATCACGGGACCCGGACAGAGGGCGACGGTTGTGGGGATGGGCTGGGGGGGGTCCTTCATCCAGCAGTGGATTGACCACGGCTGCCGATGCTGCTGAACAAATGCGTAAACCGTTGCAGTGACGAGACGCCGCTAGCTGGTTGCGCTGAATGCGGGGATTTACGAACCGTGTAGCTGAGCGCGATGCGAGGAATGTCGCCGTCTCGACTCCCTCCCCCACCGTCTCTGTCTCTCTTCAACTCGCTGCGTCGACAGCACCACCCACGGAGTGGCCACGTCGCGGCAAGAACTTCCTGCGACTGCAACTCTCTCTCCTCCTCCCTTTCCTCTCTCCGCCTCCCGTTCCTCTCTCCCCCCTCCCTTTCCTCTCTCCCCCTCCCTTTCCCCTCTCCTCCCTTTCCTCTCTCCCCCTCCCTTTCCCCCCTCCCTCCCTTTCCTCTCTCCCCCTCCCTTTCCCCTCTCCTCCCTTTCCTCTCTCCCCCTCCCTTTCCTCTCTCCGCCCTTTCCTCTCTCCGCCTCCCGTTCCTCTCTCCCCCCTCCCTTTCCCCTCTCCTCCCTTTCCTCTCTCCCCCTCCCTTTCCTCTCTCCCCCTCCCTTTCCTCTCTCCCCCCTCCCGTTCCTCTCTCCCCCCTCCCTTTCCTCTCTCCCCCTCCCTTTCCCCTCTCCTCCCTTTCCTCTCTCCCCCCTCCCTTTCCTCTCTCCCCCTCCCTTTCCTCTCTCCCCCCTCCCGTTCCTCTCTCCCCCCTCCCTTTCCTCTCTCCCCCTGCCGTTCCTCCTTCCTCCCTTTCCTCTCTCCACCTCTCCCGTTCCTCTCCCCCTCCCTTTCCTCTCTTTTTTTTACGATCAGAGGAAACAAGAAGATGCTCGGTGTAGTCGGCACTTTGCTTCGTTCATCATTTTGTTTTTTTTTCTCTCCTCCCGTTCCTCTCTTTTTTTTTTAGGCCCAACAGACTTCATGTAATGTTTAAAAAATAATTTCATGACTTAGTCCAAGATAACAAAGTTTTGCAAATACGTTTACATTTGGATGCACTTTTCGATGTATACAGTTCACCAGGACACAAACTTTCATATTTTCCAACCTCCCCTGTCCCGTTCCTCCCCCCTCTCTCTAGACCCCTGGGAAAAGGGGATCCCCTGTTGGTGAAGGGGAGAGGGGGGGCACATAAAACAAAGCATTGAAAGAAAAACCCAAAAAAATCGAAATGACGAACGAAGCAAAGTTCCGACTACACTGAGCATCTTGTTGTTTCCTCTGATCGTAAAGAGAGAGGGGTGATGACACGGGTGGTAGTGGCTGGGGTAAGTGGCGGATGAAGCTCGCGTGACGCCTGTAGCATATGTTATAAAGGGGCCCTAAATTAAAAAAAAAACATTAAAACACACATTTTTACTTGCATAGTAAAGTACTGTAATTGTATTTTTTCACTTGCTGTACAGCCAGATAATAGGCATTATGCCGGATTATCCTCGTAGCTAAAGTAGCTCATAGTTCCATTTCCATTTATTTGGCATAGCCCTGTGAGCCATTCGGCTCTTGAATCGGGTGCAACCGCAAAAAAACAAAAACATGAACAAAAAAAATCTTAAAGTGACTATGTGACTGTGCAAACAGAAAATCCCGGAACAAAACATCAAAATATTCCTGAAATAGCACCGTACACCAACGCTGTGTGCAAAAATCCCAGTGGGATGCAAGTCAAACAACAACAACAACCACAAGACAACTAAGATTAAGGCCATAAGATTAAGGTCAGTCTAACTCCGTACTACAATAAACAAAAACATGGCCAAACCAAAAAAAGTTTTCGAAATCACCAAAATAAAAGCCATAAATGCAATGTAACAGTGATCATAGGGACTGTGACCGAATTTGTAACAATAAACTACATAAATAACATGTAACACCAAACCCTAGAGCCATATTTTAGGCCACTGAATAGCAGTGGCAGCTAGGGGTATACAACTCCTCTAGAGCAGTTTTGAGTGAAGATCTCATAAGTAGTGATTCAAGTTGCAGTTTATTGGCAATAGCATTCCAGACCCTGGGGGCATCAATAGCAAAGGCCCTTCCTCCGGTTTATATATATACTTTCAAGCTATCAAATCCGGTTCAGCGATTCTGCACTTGCTCTATTACTATAGTACTATACCGCCTTCAACTTTTACGAACGACTGGTGTTTAAGGTTAGCGATTTGTCGTATTATCTGGCTGTACAGCAAATGAAAATACAATTACTTTACTATGCAAGTAAAAAGAAATTGTGTTTTGATATTTGTTTTTTTATATATATATTTAGGGCCCCTTTATAACATATGCTCCAGGCCGCGCATTAGCCTTAATCCGGCACTGAGCAAACCCAAATCACTCTCGCGTCGATGCTCCTTGCGCCTTCAACGCGCACTTAACCGAGCGTGGGGAAGTATGGCCCAAATATATCGCCCACGAAGCGCAATCCAGCAGTGGATTGACAAAGCAGTGCATTTTTCGTGTAGAATAAGACGACAAACTTGAGGCCAGCTTCACAATGAGACGTCGGAGAAGCTCTCGCGTCCACGTGCTGATATCGCGTTTAGCACCGCAGTTGAAAGTCTAAAACGGCCTTTAAAATTTTCTCGAAAAATTCGTGTCCGTACCCTATAGCTGATCCCGTCAAATGATCGCTCTCCCAAGGGTTCGCCCATTCTGCGCCAGTCCCGTGTCGGAGCGGCGATCCCACGGCTCCCTCAGCCAGACGGGACTCGATGGGAGGGTCCCTCTTTGTTTTTGGCTGGCCGCAAGGTCTGAAACTCAATCACGCGAAAGATAACGAAGTCATCATCGTGGGCGAGAAAGCAAATATAATCAGCACTCCGTCCCGTGTCTAACACATGAATAGTATATTGCTTTAGTGTTGACCTTCCAGACCAATAAAATCAAGTGGCATTTGTTCAAGAAGGAAAACTATAGGCCGGCTTCGGACGTACATTCTGCCGACTCCATCGGGGTCTTAAAGCCCCGTTTTAAGGCCTCGACTTTTCTCCTCCGTCCGCGCGCGGATGTTCATGTGAGTTGGGCCGTAAATCCGCGTTTACAACTGCGGTTTATACTTTTGTCGGTGACCCCGACAGGGCCGTGTAAATCAATCAGTTTGTATAAATCAACCCAAGACCTCCCCTGCAGAGTGGCCCGTGTCTCCAAACGACGTGGAACCATAAGCGAGGACGAAGTCCAGATTGCATCGCATCTCGCACAATGTGAAGGTGTCACGGTGGATGCTGTGAGTATTGGGAGCGTTTTACAATTTCAAGGTTTTTATTTTGAATGATGATGGTGGCGGCGGTGCCGCAGTCGGTTCGCGCGCACAGAGCTTTGGACCCGGCCACCTGGGTTTGTTTCCCGGCCACGGCTAACATCAGTAGCGAGCGATATCTAAACAATATGGACAGCTCCTGGGTAACCCCTACAACCCCGCACTGATCAGGGTGGTGAAGTATGGTCAAGCAACAGGCATTGTGAGGCCTTCATCCAGAAGTAGATTGACAAGCGGCAGTATTCATCAGCATCTTTTAAAACGTGAAGA